TTGTTGGAGACGACAAGAGTTGTCAAAGTAGTCAGGTTACTGATGGAGGAAGGGATAGCTCCAGTGAGAGAGTTGTAGGAGATATCTATGTCCGTCAACAGTGACATCTTTTCACCAATGTCTGGAGGGATGGGCCCAAAAAATGAGTTGTTGCTCAAGTGCAGTTCACTTAAATTTGCAGACCACAGCGGCAGAGGACCCTAAAGCAATTCCAGCTGAGGTAAACTGTTGATTGAGGACGAAACTTCCGTGAGTTTGGAATTCTCCCACTTATTTGGTTATAACCAAGATCAAGTTCATCCAGGGACAAACCCAATTCCCAGAACCATTCAGGTATTGTATCTGAAATTTTTGTGTTCCGAAGAACAACAGTACTTAGCTGATCTTGGTTTCTGAGCCATCCAGGAAACTTGGGGCCAACCTGGCATGATCTCAGCTTGAGGAATTCAAGCTTGAAAGGAGCAATCCAACCACGACTCACATTGAAGAACAGGGTGAGGTCTGGAGACAAGGAGAACTTGGCAATTACCATGTCTTTCAAGCTGGTGAGATTGAAGAAATGAGCTTCTGAAACAACACCGGTCCATGAATTTTCTGAGATATCTAGTGCAACTAGTTCTGATAATTTTCGTAGACTCTCCGGGATAGGTCCGTTCATCTTGTTGTTATTCAGGTAGAATTCCTCCAATGATGACAGGTTCCCAATTGAATCCGGAATTGAACCCACAAAGGAATTCTCCAATAGTTGAAGATGCTTCAGTTTTTTGGAGTGTCCAAGTGAGTTGGGAAGGAAACCGCCTAGTTGATTATGCCCCAAATCTAGTGTCTCTAAGCTACTGTTGCCGCACATAGAAAGAACATCAAAGAAGTCGGTTACCTCACCAATGAGGTTGTTAGTAGACAAGACCAACGTTTTTAGATTGCAAAGATACCCTAACGATATTGGTATCTGACCTGGAATAAATGAATGCCCGGACAAATCAAGCATCTGGAGGGACGTCATGTTAGAAAATGTTGCTGAGAAATTGCCTCCAAGATTGTTAGAGTTGAGATCAAGGTATTCAAGCTTTTGGAGCTCAAACAACCAATCAAGTAGCGAGGAGTTGAAGCCATTATTGGAGAGATCAAGAATCCGGAGTGAAGAGAAGTTAACAGAAGAGGGGGTTTGGTGCAGTTCGGAGAGTCCACAAGAAGGGAGATGCAGCTCAGAAAGGGAAGGCATCGTGGTAACGACTTGTAGCCAATTGTCTGCAGTACTGCTGAGGTTCACACCTCCCAAATTAAGGTATTGCAGAGAGGAAAGATTGGTCATCCATTTCAAGTCACCTTCTTGTGATGCATAAAAATTTGTGTTAAGATGAAGATAGTGCAAGTTTGAAAGATTACCCAGATTTGGTGGGACATACCCTCCAAACGCAGCACCAGAGAGATTAAGGTACCTTAACTTCTCTAGTGAACCAAAGAATTCAAGTATTGTTTGTCCTCCAAAATAGTTCAAGCTCAAATCTAAGTGGTTTAAATGCCTCAGATTGAAGTTGTCCCATCATCTTTAACAACACCTGGTCGTGGATTGCGTAGCTTGAGCTCCACGATATGCCTGGTCTTTTTGTCACACTGCACCCCCTTCCATTTGCAGCAGTCTTCTCCAAACCAAGAGGAAAGTCTTCCTGATGGATCTGTCAGGCTTTCTTTAAACTTCAAAAGTGCCTCCCTCTCATTTTTTATGCAATTCACTTGAAGATCACCATGGCACGAGACTAGTTGGATGGTTTTTAGGCAGAAAAATCCTAACAAAAGTAAAAGGGACAGAAGCTGAGAATGGAGGTTATGCTTCATGTCTGTAATTGTTTTTTAGCTGTTGCTGCATGTGGGTTCTGCATGGTGGTTGAGAAAAACATGCAGATTTCAACCTTTGAAATTTGGTTGCATGAGAAATCTTGTGTCAGTCAAAAAGGAGTTGAAAATGCATGCAAAGTGCAGAGTTGAAAGTGATGGTTATTTGCCAAGAGCTGCAGCCGAAAATCTTGACAAAAATGGATTTTGCTTCTGCATGTATCCATGAAAGTAAAGGTTAAGACTTTGAAGCAATGTTTTGAAAACCGAGCCGGAGGTCAAACTGTTTTGACCTCCGGTTCCCGGTTTGACCGGTTTAACCGGTTTAACCGTTCAAACCGTCGGTTTAACCGCATATCAATAAATGTAATATGGTGTGATGATTTAACAAGGCAAGTGTAGTGGCTGGATTGGTTTGTCACTTCAGTCATCACAATGGAAACGTGTGTTCGAACCTGGTGGATGTCAAAATGTTATTATCACATTTCTAAACCTTTTAAGTAACTTAATTTTTTAATTAATTTATATAAAAAATTATAAAAATTAATTAAAAATTAATTAATTAATCAATTAAAATCAGTTATATAAATATTAATTTTAATTTAATTAATTAACTAATTAAAATCATTCATATTCAGTCATGTTAAAATATATGCTAATTTTTATAATTTTAATGTAAAAGTTAATTATAGAAGAGAAGAAAGTTTGAGTCGGTTGGAGTGTGATTCTTTTCTTCCTAAACATAAAATAAATAAATTTGAAATGTGGGTTTTTTATAAGGGGTTACTCTCGAACTTTCTACCTCCTTTTTTATTACTTTTTTTTTCAATCTTTTTACCTTCTCCCTTCTAGCTATTCACTTCTTTTTTATTTATTAATTTTTCCTGGTATTTTCACCTTCTTTTTTCTTGG